GGTGTCCCTGCATGGCATAGCCCATAGCTTCTGTGAATTACTCAAGCCCCTTCAACATGACAAGGCAGCCATCCATGAAGGAGGAGAATCTCTTATACTTTCTTATTTTAAAAAAATTATTTATTTATATGCTGCCCAATCTACCCAAAGGTCTCTGAGAGGCTTACAACAATTAAAAAACAATAAAAATAAAATAAAAAAATAAAACAATTAAAATCCAATTAAAATTTAAAATCTAAAAATTGCCATCAGGACCTACAGTTGATAATATGTCTATTAAAAGCCTTCTGGAACAGGAAGGTTTTGACCTGGCGCTAAATGTCATCAACGTCGGTGCCAGACGAACCTCAGTCAGGAGGGCATTCCATAGTATGGAGGCGGCTGCCAAAAAGGCCCTTTGTCTACAAGCCGTCCCTCTTACCTCCTTGAGGGGCGACTTTTTCAAAATTCATTCATTCAATTTGTATCACACTCTTTTTAGTGTCACTGCTAACTCTGGGTGAGTCACAACAATTTGAGCCAGTAATAGTATGCGCTAGGATAAGAGTATAGAATCTTTGCTCTTTTAAATGTTTTGAGCCAAAAAAAAACCCCTGAAGTGGCATATGTAAAAGATTGTGTAAATTGTACTGCGAAACATTTGGAGGGCCAAAGATTCTATGTCAAGTGAAGAGAGAGAGACCTGGTGAACATGGCCGGTAGATTCTTGCTGTATTCTGAATGCACTAACAGAGCTCCAGTTCAGGGAAACCTGGGAAGATAATAAAAGCACTGATGGTGTAAAAAAAAAACCCATCTGTTTGGTTGCTGTTTAATTGTATGCCCAAATACTTTATGTCCATACAATTATTATTTTGTAGTCATCCCTACAAGGCGATTGTTTTGAAGACACACATTTCTGAACCTAAGAGCCCACAAACCCTGGTATGTAGAACACATCTATGAGTATCCTAAGCTCATGTTCAAAAACTTTTATTTAAATCAATGTTGACCATGGGAATAAAGGCTTGGTTAAGGAAGCAGAGTAAAACAACAACTCAGTACTCCTCAAATTTACCACAGATAGGCGACGTTGTTCCACAGTCCGTTCATCGTCAGAATCACTGTAGTACTTGGAGTAAAGGTATGGCTTGTGGACATAAGCATGTCGTCCGGGTTTTCTTTTTTTATCATTGGCATCAGCAGCTTCTACTTTTGATGAAATCTGATCCTGTTCCTCTTCATCTAAAGAAATATTAAAACAATGAATGTCTCAAATGAAAGATCTATGTTCAATTTTGATTTAGGTTTGGATCCAAAGGACCACAGAATATTTCATGGAAGTAATCTCATGAAAACAATTCCACTCTGTTTCACCACTGTAGATCTTTGTGCCCCTGCCCCAAATCTGATACAAATGACCAAAATAGCTGCAGTTGAAAGCAAAAGGCCAGAAAGTCTATGCAAATATTTTTCTGAGAAAAAAACATGTCTCTTCGCATTTTGTCTTTGGTTGTCCACTTCTAACATCCAGGCATACTTCACATCCAAAAACTTTCCAGGGAAAAAACTTCTTTCTAAGAATTTATATCAAAGGAATCTGGGAACTGTAATACTGCAAAAAGGACCATTGATAGAATCTCTTCTATTCTCAACCAGTTTCTTGAATAAAACTATAAATTGGTTTGCTTGTAATACTCCAGAGAAACATTCAGTAAATGCAAATAAGGAATACGTTGTGGATGAGCACCCCACTTCAGTTATACAAGTATTTCCCCAGTTTACACTGAATAAACATAATGATACATATCTGCAGTATCCAACTGAATGCAAAATTTGACTTAAGATTAAGAGAGCAAGTTTGATACTATTTTAATTAATATTTTCTGCTACTTAACAGCATGTTCCACTCATTTTTCAAGTAGGAAACAAATTATGAGTGTTGTTAATGTCACTAATCTAATACTGAAGTGACAACAAACACAACATATATACTAACATCAACACTAAAGGTTCTGGGACAACAGAAATTTCATCTATGTGGCATCTGGCTGTCCCTGTGTATATATTAAGGATAAACAGACATAAGATTAAATCAGTACGGTAATAATGTATTCCACTGGTGATAACAGTCCTATTACCATGAGAACAACAGGTAGTACTAGCATTTCCATAGCCACAAAAGCAACAGAAAACAGCCAAAGTTTTGTGGAGGTATACAACGGAACAAGAATCTGTATCTTCCCCTTTTCAGTGTAAGTTTTTCCCATCATCCCTTGCTTGATTCTATGGAGAAGAAACTGTTACCCAAATATGCACTTACACTCATTCCAGGCAACCTATTCACCAGTTTCCCAAACTACATGTACAAAAAATACCCAGGAACATTTTAACCCACTATAATGACAGCCTCAAGAAACACTGCAGTTGAGGGAGGTATTGCTAATTTCTCCATGAGACCTTGTTCTCTGTACTATGTAAGATGTAAATCTGCAATGGATTTATGCAGAACACAATTATATTGTTAAAATTAGGGATACACATTCAGATTTGGAAATACTCAGAATTCACCAAACATCATGTTTAGATACTTCCAAATATATCTGGATCCAAATTTGACAGTTCTGAGTATCTGTAATAATAATTCCTAATATTCAGAGTCTCATTTCCTATAGATTAGAAAGCAAAAGCCTAGGTTTCGGCTTCCTAGAGGAAGAAGTCAACCTATTTCTCTGGCATCCTGGAATGATTTCTTGAGAAATGAAACTAAAGACACACTGGCACCAAAGATAGTAGGAGCAGAGAACTCAATGTCTCCTGATTGAGATTGCCATGGCTTTCCCATTGAAGGAGGAGGAGCCATGCTTCAATTTGCTGCCCCTTCCTTTTGTGTCTTTCACTCTTCCATCTACTACTCCAAGACTGCTTACTGAATCATCTATACAGTGGTGCCTCGCTTGACGAGGAAAATTCGTTCTGTTCAAATCACTGTTAAGCGAAATCCTCATCAAGCGAAATTAAAAAACCCATTGAAATACATTGAAAACCGGTTCAATGCATTCCAGTGGGCTAAATACCTCAGCATCCAGCGAAGATCCTCCATAGGGCAGCCATTTTCCAGTGCCCGTAAAGCGAGGAATTGGTCCTAAAGCACAGCGGGGAGCCATTTTGCACAGTGGGCGGCCATTTTAGAGCCACCGATCAGCTGTTTTAAAATTGTTGTCTAGCGAAAAATCGGTTCCTGAAGCAGGGAACCGATCATCGTTAAGCGAATTTTCCCCATAGGAAAATCATTTTGCGATCGCAAACTTCATTGTAAAGCGGTTTCATCATTTAACAAGGTAATCGTTAAGCGAGACACCACTGTACTATGCTCCATGCTATTGGCAGTTTTCACCCACCACAGGCTATCTTCTGCTCCAAACTGCCTGCCACTGCTGTCCAGGGTATTTGCCCAATCTCCAGTTACCACTGGTCAGGGATTAATCCATGTGCACATTACAGTCATTTCCTAATACTTAGGCACTGCTAGCTGTTGGTGTGCCTTATTTTTGATTTGCATGCAAACTGGGAAGGTGTCAGAGGACACAGGTATATCCATAATTTCACTGAAATAAAAGTTGTGCAGTCATTATACAGTACAAATACAGGAGTAGGCAATACAGAAGAAATCATACAATCTGCTAGCTTTCATGGATCAGGGTCACCTTCTTTCTCTGAAGACCTGAGGTAGGATATCTAGTCAATAGGTTCCTCAGCTGTATCTTTAAAACAACTCCAATGCAGCCTCCATCTTTCTAGGAAAAATACACCTGCCATAAACTCTTGGAACTCTAAATTCTTTGCACTAAGGACAAGACACTGGTGCAAGACTGATAAAGGGGGCCCTATCCTTGAAAGTTAGGAAACTACAGTAGTGCCCCGTATAGCAACGATAATCCGTGCAGCAAAAATCGCTGCAAAGCGATTTTGTCACTATGCGAAAATAAAAAGCCCATAGGAATGCTTTAAAACCCATTTAATGTGTTCCTATGGGCAAAAAACTCACCTTTTAAGCGAAAATCCTCCATACGGCATTTTCGCTGCCCAGTTAGCGGGGAATGCGGGCAAAAACACAGCGGGCAGCCATTTTTTTTACCCGTTGGCCATTCTGGAACCGCCAATCAGCTGTTGGGAAATCATTGCTATGCGATAATCGGTAAGCAAAACATTATACCGGTCATCGCAAAGCGATTTTTTACCATTTAAAAGATCGCAATGCGGATCACTTTTGCAATCGCAAAATCTTCATCACTATGCGGATTCGTTGTTAAATGAAGCACTCGCTAAGCGAGGCACCACTGTATATGATTTCTTCCTGAATGTGTAGAGGACAAAAGGAAATCCTTTAAAACTGTTTTGCCTGTTTGTGTTTTTTTTTAAAATGAGGAAATAACTGTTTTCATATTGACTGTAACAGAGTTCAGTATATACAGAAATTTAAAAAAAATTAAATTCCTAATTCAGAATCTGATGAACCGTAATTTTAAATTTTGGTGCTAATGTGCATCTCTAATTATAATACCATCTGTTTTAATACTGTAAGATACTTTGGGGTCTCTTGAGGGGAAAGGTGGGGGTAAATATAACAAATTATCCATGCTAGTAATATCAACACTCCAACCCCCCTTTGTACTTAAGGAAAAACACTTTAACACTCTGGTTTCTAGCTGAGCTGGTAATCCCATTGTTAGGATGTTGTCTTACCATCAGAAAAAATCTCTCCTTCTTCTGTACTATCAGAAAGTGCAACTTCCTCTTCACTCTCTTCTTCAAATGAAGAAAGATCACTTGTATGCACTGAGCTAACAGTTATATCACTGAGTATATCCACATCAGAATCTTCAAATACTAATTCAGAAAGAAAGAGAAAGGTTTCTTCAAACAGGCTGGAATCCCAAATGCTTTATATGCCAGCGGAAAATTCTTTAACATATTTTCTTCCCTTCTCTAGGAATACAAGTGACTCTGCATGCGTGCAAAAGAGTCTCAGCTCACACGTGGCAAGAATATGCATAACATTTCAGATCCTAGCAACAGAATTGTAAAAAAGAAACATAAAAGTACATTTGCTCATAGGATTAAAAATGAAACAAAAAGGGAAGAGAATGCAATGAGACAGGAGAGGAAGAGAAGATAGTTATTAATTAGGAAGAAAGTAAAACAGAAATAGTATTAAAGCATGGAAGGGACCCTGACAGTAAAAACATTTTCAGAACTCATCACTTCCAAGTATGGTGTACCCAAAGAAATGGATAGAGTCACCAAAGGTGTGTTGGACATGAAGAACATGTAGGAAAGATACATAAGTGCAATGGAGGCCAAGCTTTTACAAGTAATAATATTTTAAAATGTCTATGAAAATATCAGTGCAAAAAGTAGGAGAAACATAGTCAAATTTAGGAGCAATCACAAATAAGAAATAATAAGCAGTACTCTTGTAACACAACCCTAGGAAGATACTGATAATGTAAATTACACTCAAAGCAGCCCAGTAAAAGATAGTAAATAACCTAACAGAGTGACTATTGCTTAACTTTTCAATGTTTTATTATGAGGCTTGTTAGTGTTACACAAATAGCACACATTCTAATGTGGCGAGGTGGAGGTGGACTACTGAAGGAGGAACAGGAGACAAGAGAAGACTGTTGGGCAGATGCCACAGATTGAGAGGTGTATGAGGGCCAGGAGGTGCTGCCACTGAAGTCAAAAGCCAGTTAGGAGATGATAAGCAAACGTACAGTGGTGCCCCGCATAGCGAGGTTAATCCGTTCCGGATTAACCATTGCTATTTAGAAACATTGCTAAACAGAATAGAAAAACCCATTGGAACGCATTAAACTTTGTATAATGCATTCTAATGGGCCCCAGACTCACCGTTCAGCAATGTTCCTCCATAGCACAGGCATTTTCGCGCCCTCGGTAAGCGAGGGCAGGGCGCGAAAACGCTGCGCACAGCCATTTTGGGTCTTCCGGTGGCCATTTTGGAACCGCCGATCAGCTGTTCCCCCGACATCGCAATGTGAAGATTGGTAAGCGAAACGCTTACCGATCATCGCAAAGCGAATTTTGCCCATTGGAACCATCAGTTTGCGATCGCATTAGCGATCCCAAAAAACGGATCGCTATGCGAATTCGTCGTTAAACGGTGCGCTCGTTATGCGAGGCACCACTGTAATCCCGAAACCAGCTACTGAATAGAGCTGCTAGTGCCACTGGAGGAAGATGCCTAGATCCATCAGATCAGGTGAGGCTCAAAGAAGCTCAAAGGGTTGAGAACCATCAGGAGGCTCTCTGCCAGAAGAAGCACCAGAGTCAAGCAGCACCAAAGAAGAAGCCCAGCAGCCAGCCTTCCCCCAAGTACCATGAAGGCCAGCATTCACTCCTCCTCACTCTCTACTCTGCTAGGTGAGAGACACCAGGGCAAGGATTTGGGGAGAGTAGCAGGGGAGGGAGCCTTTGTTGCTCCCCTCCACAGACACTTGAGAGCATGGATCCAGCACCTGCAAGGGATCCTGGTAGAGGAGGAGGGGCTCCACATCTTCCAGTAAAGACTATAGAGGGGCTATAGACCCTTTAAAAGTTCTGTTGCTCAATAAAAGAGCCTGTTTCTGCAGCTATTATTGAAATCATCAAGGAAGGGGGCACAGGGACCATTCACAACTTCCACAGGCAGAACGTGAAGTTATGTCAGGTGCACAGGATTTCACCCAATGTGACATTTAAGTAGGCAAATATTTGGCTCTTGTAATTTTTTATAATGCAGAAATATAACACGTACACTAAACATTTATAAATCAGAAAACAATATTGCAATATTTACACAGTGCAGCATTTTTTAAAGAAAATCAAAATTTATATTTCAGTCCTATTAATTCTCATCCACCCATAATGGATAAAAATGTGATACTTATACCTTCTTTTGCACATTCATTTACTTTGTGTTTACTACTGCTCTTCTCCAGAACTGAACATTTTGTTGATTCTGTTTCTCTCTCTTTTGATGCTTTTTCTTCTTTTAATTTTACATCATCAACACTTCTTTTCATGAAGTCAAACTTTTTGTCAGATTTTTCTTTTTTCTCTTGTCTTCTCTCTCCTTTCTCTGAGCTTTCTAGCTTTCTATCACATTTATCCGTCAGCTTACTCTTCAGTTCATCACCTTCCTGCAGAGCATTTTTGCTTGAATTAATCATACTGCTAACTTCTTTTGATCCAGTTTTTCCTTCTTCACTTGAAGAAAATAAATTATTTAGACTTTCACCATTTGCTACTGGTTCACAACTTTCTTCTGCAGAGTTACAAGAAAGTTTCTCTTCATCTAGCAGATCATCAGTGTTCTGGTCTCTCTCAATTCCACTGTCCATGCTTTGCTGAGAAAGGAGTCTTTTTGAAACTCTGTCATTAGTTTTTGAATTTGTTGCTTCCGTAGAAGCCCTGGCTGAACATGCTTCTTGGTTCAGAGATGTTATTGTTTCCAAAATGGACATTGCATCATTAGCTACACTTGCACTTGAAGTGGTAGTAGAAACACCTTCAAAGCAGAGAAGACCAAATATTAACATTTTCTATATGGAGGAAAACTACACTTATGGACTTGGACATTATATCAAATGAAATTTTTTTCTTTCTTTAAAAGAAACTTCAACAAATTCACTGAGTTGCCAAAAAGTTAGTAAATGATGCCTGCTTCTTTGGTCCTTTTAAAATAGCAAGAAGTTCTGACATTAACCCCTGCTTTCAGTAATTATCCATCACATTTCCATTTACTTGCTCAGGTGACACACCATGTAAACGCCTGACATAATGGTGCAGCAAAGAAATCATACATTGACACCTCTATTGCATTCAATATTGGTCAGTAATATTGTGGTGAATATTGCGTCCTGCTGAAAATACATTGTAGGGATCGGATCAGAGAATCCTAAAGGCTTAGTGTAACCAGTTGAGTGTTAAATTTCATGATAGGTTGCCTGCATCTGCACCAGCTTGGGCACCACAATTTTGACAGAATCAGCATCTTATCACTCATCTTTTAGATCAGCATGGGCACACAGGAAGTTTTGAATAATATTTATTGTTTCAATTTATTATTAAATATCTAATTTATAATTAGTTTTATTTGCCTTTGTCCATTACAGTGAAATCAACAGAGAGCATCTGTTAGTTTAACTAGGCTACTAAGTGGTTTTTAGCACAATTGACCATGGTCGTCTTCTACACTACCCGGCAAAACGGAGTTTAAGGACTTTGTTCTTACAGTAGCTTTGGTACTATCTAGCTGTTTACTCTCAAAAGGTGGGTACTCTAAGGCCTCCTTCTGTGGCATCAACAGAACTGCTATGTGAAGAAACTGAAGGTTGGGGTCTGCAGACCCACTAATATACATGATATCTAGCTTCAAGGCCATATTGATTGGTATGCTATGATCAATGAGACTGGCAGAATCTCTAGGTGGGTCTTCTCAGTAGTGGCCCCAAATTAATTTTGTTAAATCTATCCTTAGCATTTCCTGCTGAAAGACATACGCTGCTCACACCTGTGATTGTTCTATCTATCTATCTATCTATCTATCTATCTATCTATCTATCTATCTATCTATCTATCTATCTATCTATCTATCTATCTGTCTGTCTGTCTGTCTGTCTGTCTATCTTTCTATCTATCTATCACATTTTTATACTATCCATCTGGCAGCCAAGGCCACTCTGGGCGGTTTACAACACTAAGCAACAACAATAACATAATGACAGGGAGTTTGGCAGCATCCATAAAATATAAAAAGTACAAAACAAATTACAATAAAAAGACACAGTAGAACAAAATAAATTAAAATAACACTAACAATAAAGTGAAAAGCATAACAGTAGGTTAGATGTTGAGTTATTAGAGGCACTACTGTATCAAGATGTTATGTGATCTGGGTAAAGGTAAAGGTTCCCCTTGACAATTTTTGTCCAGTCGTGTTCGACTCTAGGGGGTGGTGCTCATCCCCGTTTCCAAGCCATAGAGCTAGCGTTTTGTACGAAGACAATCTTCCGTGGTCACATGGCCAGTGCGACTTAGACACAGAACGCTGTTACCTTCCCACCAACGTGGTCCCTATTAATCTACTCGCATTTGCATGCTTTCAAACCGCTAGGTTGGCGGGAGCTGGGACAAGTGACGGGCGCTCACTCCGTCACGTGGATTCGATCTTATGACTGCTTGGTCTTCTGACCCTGCAGCACAGGCTTCTGCGGTTTAGCCCACAGCACCACCACGTCCCTGTGATCTGGGTAGGCCCGTCTAAATAACCAGCTTTTAGTAGTTTTTTTAAAGGTTCCCAATGAAGGGGCCAGGCGAATTTCAGGAGAGAGACTGTTTCATAATTGTGGAGCTACCACTGAAGGTGGGAAGTGGGTTTTAAAAGATACCTTTCACTCCGTCTTTTAATAGATTAGGTTTTATGATATATGCTGTTGGGTATCTTGAAATTTTATTTTATGGCTTGTATAACCTTAATGTGATTTCACAATTTATCCACAGTGTTGATTAGAATCCAAATAGTATTTTCGTAAGGTTTGCCTAACTTACAACATTTAATTTGCAACTAACTGCTGAAGTGCTAGGACATATCTCAGTTGCATGCCTAGTCATTCGCTGATCACATAAATGAGATGTTCACTGAGAAGATTGAACTCTCATCTAGAACACACTAATCCCGCAGACTCAGATCGCCCTGAAACCTTCTCTTTCTTGTGTGGATTTCAATTCAGCCTGTTAAATCTATGAAGGCTATGAATCATGATTCTCACTACCCCTACTTTCTCAAGATCATTACGAAACAATGTCTGCAACCCAGTAATGTCACAACTGAATCAATGGAACTTAGAGAAGAGTTGACTCACCAAAGTGGGCCTAATATAGTTGGGACTTACTACTGCATTTCTGCCAATACATTATACTGAAGCAAATGTCAAACGCTTTCCTGCCATGCTAGTTTAGTTTCAATTAAACTATACAAAATTATTTCCAAATAAGTATGTTCAGGATCAGGAAACAAAACCTCAGGTGTCCTTCTGCCTCTTTGCACTCTCCTAAATTATCGTCACCATGTTCCAATATACACTTAACAATATATATTGGTTTTCCAGAAGAAAGAAGAAGAAATACCTTGCATCAAAACTGAAGCTTCTGGCTTCTCCTCAGTTGGCGTGGTGCTGGAACTGGCTGCCTCTTTATGATTTAACGTGGTTAAAAATTCATGGACAGCCTTTTCTACCTGTGGCCTAAATATGTGGTTAACCTTTGGATCCACAACTTGAGATATGATTCTGTCAATTCCAGATTCTAACATTCCAGATCTGAAACAAAAAAGACAATAATAGTCTAGAGTTTAGAAAGTTCTCTTATTGATTTTGTTGTTCTAAATACCGGATTACATTCCTAATAACGATATGTTCCACCATTTCTTGGTAATTGGAGCAACATTATAAAGCAGATAAAAATTACCACAATATAGGAGGATATTATTCAGGACAGAGATGTTTAGCCTAATACCATATCAAGTTGATTGCACAAGCAAGGTTCAATGTACAAACTTTGTGGCTCATAGGTTATGACTAGAAGTATACAATTTCAGCTCACTAAAGCACTGTAATGCAATTATTACAGAGGAGCTAAGAAGTGCAGAATACTTTGCTACCACTCACTATTCAGATATACCTGTACCTGTAAATTTTATACATATTTTTTCCAATTAATATTATTATTTTGTAATTTACAAAACAAATTAACAATCTAAAGCAAAATATATTACACTTCTATAAACAGATCAAAACTACAATATAAACAGATTAAAACTACTATATAAATAGATGAAAACTACAGTGTGGTCTTGACTTACGAACTTAATCCATATTGGAAGGTGGTTCCTAAGTCGAAAAGTTCGTATGTTGAATCTGCATTTCCCATAGGAATGCACTGAAAACCATTTAATCCGTATCTGCTCTTTTCTGTCCATAGAAACTAATGGGAAACTAATGGGAAGCTGCTATTCCGCCTTCTGCCACTAGAGGGGGATATTTTTTTCTTTTTTGCTTAGGTCAAGAAAAGTTCAGGAAAAGAGGGGGGAGGCAGGGAACAGTTTTAAAAGCACTTTTGAAATCTTTTTTTTCCAATGAAGCCAATTATAAAGCATGTTTTAAAGCATGTTGTGCTGATTTTTTCAGCATAAAGACACACAGGCAGGCTTTTTAGGTGCTGACCAAACCTCCTCAGAGCCAGCCGATCAGCTGTTAGGCAGGGAGAGGAGGGGGCAGGAGCAGAGAAAAGCACATAATGGCTGCCAGGCTCCCTTCTGGGTGTCGGCTTTTATCTGTTTGCTGCTCTTTTTCCGCAGTTCGGGGGCTACCAAGGCCTGGTAAGTGACTTTCTTTTATTTATTTTTAAGTTTCTGACCTTTTTTTCCCCTCCAGAAGCCTCTAAGGGGAGGGAGGGGGCACTTTTTTCCTGTTCGTAATTCAAGGGAAGTTCGTATGTTGAGTATGTAATTTCCTATCGGGCGGGTTCGTAAGTCGAAAAGTTCGTATGTAGAACCGTTCGTAAGTCGAGACCCCACTGTACTATATAAAGATGTGGTGGTACTGCATATTAAACTGCAGAAGACTCTGTGCTGTAAGGTCGGAAGACCAGCAGTTGTAAGATCAAATCCACGCGATGGAGTGAGCTCCCGTCGATTGTCCCAGCTCCTGCCAACCAAGCAGTTTGAAAGCATGTAAATGTGAGTAGATAAATAGGTACCACCACGGTGGGAAGGCAATGGCATTCAATGGCTAGTCGCACTGGCCACGTGACCACGGAAACTGTCGTCAGACAAAACGCTGGCTCTACGGATTGGAAACGGGGATGAGCACTGCCCCCTAGAGTTAGACATGACTGGACTAAATGTCAAGGGAAACCTTTACCTTTAGCCTTTACCTATAAACATGAGCTGAATTCACAAAAGACTTCCAAGTATTCCTCATGCAGTTAAAAAAGTCCTTCCTACTAAGTCCATCAAAACTATCATGCAAATTTAGCATGCTGAAAGCTGAAATAGATTGGGGAGATAGAATTAATATTCCTAATAGCCTCAGAAGACTCCCTGGAAAAGACCCTGATGTTGGGAAAGTGTGAAGGCAAGAGGAGAAGGGGACGACAGAGGACGAGATGGTTGGACAGTGTCATCGAAACTACCAACATGAACCAGACCAAACTCTGGGAGGCAGTGGAAGACAGGAGGGCCTGGTGTGCTCCGGTCTATGGGCTCACGAAGAGTCAGACATGACTAAGCAACAATAGCCTCAATAACAATAACAAGAATTTATCATAGGAAAAATATGATTTTGTTTCAGAATAAATTGGATGCATCCAGACACAAAGGGAAGAGAGGGTCCCTGATAGAAGAAAGAGTTGAAGAGTGATTTTCACCAATTCCTCTTTCCCTGCAAGTGTCCAGACTGTCACAGAAGCTACCACAATCTCTCAGAAATTTCTTTAAGGAGACATTCTCAGTCTCAGAGCCCATATATCCCATGGACCAGGATCCTAATGGATGATGGTGAAATGTAGTAATGCAGGATACACATCTGTGTCCAAGTTGCCCTTACACAAACTAAGACTACCACTATGAATATCCAGCTTATGCTTGTGCAAGGCACCACTGTATACCTCCAGTGAAAGCCCAACTGTTTGTGCTATAGTCTGTTATGCAAGCAATGTGACTCCTATGTACAGGATTCTGGCTGTAGAATCTGTTCTAGGTGTCCCCACTGCTTTCATACTTTGGGTACATGATTACAATTTTCCAAGTACTCAAAATAACTACGAAGAAAAATTCTACATAAAAAAGACATATCTTAAAATATTTGTTCATTCACAATAATGAAATTCTAGTCATTCACTTTATCATAAATATCTTTGATAATTGAAATATACCATCTGAAATCCTGTTGGGTGGGTTCTTCCCGCACAATGGGAATAACATAATCATCAGTAGCAATTGCTATTGATTAAAGACTTTCCTTTCAGTTCTGGGATGCAAAATTGATAATGACATCATTCCTGTTGCATAAGAGAACCTGTGTAACAGAATTCTGGCCAATGAAGGTAAATGAATACAGTCACAAAAACCCATAAAAAGGTCTGCGTATATTTCAACTATGAGTTTGTTTTCAGAGACTAGCAACTTTGTTTTCAGTGGCTTCCTGTAAGTTTCTTCACTCAATTCAAGGTGCTAGTTATGACCTCTGATTAGACCTCAACAGATCCTTGTCAAAATGTTTCTCTCAGAAATCAGTTACTTGCTTCAGCCACTTCTCTCAATCCATAAGGTTAAAAGTGGCCACAATGAGGGAGCCAAAGAGGCAACTACAAGGAATCAGGCCTTTTCAGTGGTAGTCCCCAATCTTTGGTATAAACTGCCAACTGAGATACACCAGGAGCCTTCCCTTTTGATATTCAGGAAACTAGTGAAAACAGAATTATGCGCCTCAGAAGAGCAGGCTCGGAACCTTCTATAGCTTTAAGGCCATGGTGCTGGGACCTCCCCTAGGCTATATCACCACCCCCAGCACCAGGTACCTCAGTTCCGTAGAATGGTCCGCAAGCTACAGAGCACACCAAATAGAGGATGTGACACAGAGCGGAGAGACAGGGTGGGGAGTGTGAATTCACAGATGACCACTCAAAGAACCAGAGTTACAAGTAACTACTTTTTCTCCTTCGTGGTCTCTGTGAATGCACACTAATGGGTGACTAGCAAGCTGACTTACCAGGAGGTGAGTGTCACAATAGGACAGAGGCCAGGACTGCTCTCCCGACGGCAGCTTCTGCTTTAGCCTAGACATCCAGACAGTAATGGGCTGCAAAGGTGAAGGGTGTGGACAACGTTGCTGCTTTGCAAATGTCCGACAACTACACTCTGCGGAGGAAGGCCATGGAAGATGAAACCACTCTGGTAGAGTGGGCCCGGAAGACGGACATGAGCAAGCTCATAGGCCAACTTTATTGTAGATACCACCCACCTGGAAAAAGTATGTGGGGAAACAGCCAACACTTTAGATTGTCCATCAAAAGCAATAAAGAGTCTTCTGGAAGAACGAAAGGATTCAGCAAGGTAGTATGCAAGTACCCTCTTAACATTCAGTGAGTGTAAGGATCTTTCCAAGTCCGTTGTCGGATTAAGGAAGAACATGGGGAATACTATAGGTTGATTGAGATGGAGGGACATGGCTACCTTCGGGAGGAAGGAGAGATCAGGAAAAGGGGAACCTTGTTCAGGTGGAACTGCAAGAAAGGAGGGTCCGACTGTTACAGACAGCTATGACATCACCTGCCCGTCACTGCTGAGGCTGAGTGTCATCTACCAAAAAGGAGACAGTTAGAAATAGAAAAGGAGGAAAGAATGAAACAGCTAGAGATGGAGGAAAGAATGAAACAGATTGAATTGGAAAAAGAATGTCTTTTGAACTCAGGAGAATGGAATTAATGAACCAGAATAATAACAATAATAGAAATTCCAACTCTGAAGAAGGGCAGTTGTCAAAAGCAGATCTAAAGAAATTCCCTACTTTCAAACAAGGAGACTGTCCAGAAGCATTTTTAACTCTTTTTGAAAGAGCGTGTGCTGATTTTTCAGTCAGAGAGTCAGAAAAAATGATTATTCTGAGATCTCAAATAAGTGGAAGCCTCGCTGAGGTTTACGCTGAAATGCCTATTGAAATGATTAAAGATTATTCTGAATTTAAAAAGTTGGTGTTTGCCAGGTATGGCATCAATGCAGAACATCTGAGGCAAAAGTTCAGAACACTAACCAAGAAGCCTGATGAGTCTTACTCACAGCTAGGTGCCAACTTGGCTAGGTATTTGGATAAAGGGATGGTACAGGAGAAAGTTCAGACAATTGAGGATCTGAAGAATG